TGCTGAACGCCCAGACAGGTAAGTGCTTTCTACCCCAAAAACAACTCCACCAAACCTTCCTCACTTATGGCACATGCAGGCAACTGGAACAGACTTACTAACTAATTCTGTTACTAGCCACAAGGAAGGAAGGAGAGGCAGACAGGCACACAGCAATGGTGTCCCTGAAGACAAAGCTGGACGAAGCATGGCATGCTCCATCTAAAATGCAAATATGTTGTTTGCTTTCACATGAGCTTCCTCTTAGCAGCCCCTTCCTGCTCAGCTTGAAAGAAGCATGAGGTCAGCCACTAGCTTGGTCTTTACAGCATCTTTCAAAGGCAGGTCAAACGGGCAGCACAGCAAACACACAAAGAGCTTCCACCTTCAGGCACTTCACCAGAGATGCCTTCTGCCTCTGCTCTGCCTTACGTGGCAGCAAAGGAGAAAGTTCGAGTTTGGGGAAGAGACTCAGAACTCAGAACCACCCTGATTCATGACTTTAAGGGTGCAAGAGCCTCCAAGACTGACTCATCTGCTGAAACAGAGTAGGAAGGAAAGAAATCCATTATTATCCTTGGAGAGCCAGTTCTCAGAGGAATAGCTGACCCTACTTCACTTTCTCTGAACTCCTGACCCTGCAGGAAACATTTCTCTGCAGGAAAATAATTTCTCATTAGATCAGTTATGATATTTTGCATGAAGTTACCAGTATCTCTTCGGTGAAGACCAAATCTACCCCACCTCCTCTGTTTCTCTGCAGGCACTGCCTATGTGCTGTCATGTTACTTCACCAACTGGGCCCAGTATAGGCCTGGCCTGGGAAAATTCATGCCAGACAACATCGACCCAAACCTGTGTGACCATCTGATCTACGCTTTTGCTGGGATGTCCAACAATGAGATCACAACTTCCGAATGGAACGACGAGACCCTTTACAAATCCTTCAATGGCTTGAAGAACCAGTACGTACTGGGAGCAAAGGGCACCCCTTGTTCTCCCCTTTCGGTCCTGTCCCATTATTCAGCATGTGTTCTCTGCACAATGGCAGCACAATCCACGGTCGAGGGATCCAAGGAGAAGACAGTGATGGGGAGGGGAGAGCAGGGCAGGGCAGGGCAGGCTGCCAGCACTGGTCATTTAAGGATGATGACAGTGACTCAGTGCACTGCTGATTTGCTCTACAGGTCTCACACCAAGACATCTCAGCCTACAAAGGCACCTACACCAGAAACTTTCAAGAAAAGCAAGAGTGCTGTGCTTTATGTTAGCCTGTTTTGTCATGTTAGAAATTGGTAAGACTAAACCATTCCTTCTTGTGAAACATGTTCCTGTTCCTCCTTTTCAAGGAACGGAAATCTGAAGACCCTCCTGGCAATTGGAGGATGGAATTTTGGGACAGCAAAGTAAGTTCAAACCATCTCCTTCCCATAATGGCACCAAGAAAAGGGAGGGAGAGGGGGAAGAGGCACCAATGAAAACCCAACTCTGTCTTGCTCCGCTTCCCTAGGTTCTCCACAATGGTTTCCACATCCGAGAACCGCCAGACCTTCATCAATTCTGTCATCAAATTCCTACGCCAGTATCAATTTGATGGGCTGGACTTTGACTGGGAATACCCCGGGTCCCGGGGCAGCCCATCCCAGGACAAGATGCTATTTACTGTCCTGGTTAAGGTAGGTTGAAACAAAAGGTTTTGGTCAAGCCCTCTGCTCTGCACAGCTCTGGCTGTGAAGCCTCAGCCGGAGAGTCCACGGTGAGATCTGTTTCTTGGTATCCCTCAGGAAATGCTGGCAGCCTTTGAGCAGGAAGCCAAACAGGTCAACAAGCCCCGTCTCATGGTCACCGCAGCTGTTGCTGCAGGACTTTCCAACATTCAGGCTGGCTACGAGATTTCTGAGCTTGGGAAGTGAGTAGCAAACACTCAGGTATCATTTCTGTGATTTAAGTCGTCTTCCTTCAAGCAGTTGAGGGGAACTCTGCTATGCAGAGTGGTGCTTGTTTGGTGGGAAAGGGCACACCTCGAGAAGGCAAGTGTAACAACAGGCTGGCTCCAACCTCTCAATGTCATCGGGTGACACTTCTCAGTCCCCAGAACACCAGTGCAGTTCCCACTCTACCTTGACCTCTGCCTCCCTCCTCTGGAGCAGAGAATTGGCTCCAAAACTTACAAGGCCAGTCAAAAAAGGTCTTGAAGAACCCAGATTTGCAGAAAGCGAGGATATAGCAGGGATGTTTTGGGGTAAATGGCCAGCACCAAAGGAACATCAGGTCTGCGTGACTGAGCAGGCCAGGAGATAGACAGACACAAGCAATGTTCTCCACAGGTATTTGGACTACTTCCATGTGATGACTTATGACTTCCATGGTTCTGGGGATGGATACACTGGGGAGAACAGCCCTCTGTATAGTGACAGTAACAACCTCAGTGTTGTAAGTATCTGTTGGGAGCCTCTGCCACAGAAGTCATCTTCTTGCCTAGACACCCTGGCACAGACTTCAACTGTGATGTGTTTTTTTATAGGATTATGCTATGAATTATTGGAAGAACAATGGTGCTCCAGCTGAGAAGCTCCTTGTTGGATTCCCAACATACGGACATAACTTCAACCTCCAAAACCCTTCTGACACTTTTGTTGGGGCACCAACATCAGGACCTGGGCCAGCTGGACCTTACACAAAGCAGGCTGGATTCTTGGCTTACTATGAGGTATGCGTGTTGCCTCAGACCTAGGCTACCAAGATCAACACAAGCACTCCTCAAACTACTCAGCAAGAAATTTTTACCCCATGGAATATGCCAACTGCCCTTTTTTGTAGGACACTTGCTAACCTCTCCCTCTCTCCCTTTTTTTCCTAGATCTGCACTTTCCTGGACTCTGGAGCCACCCAGGCTTGGGATACACCCCAGCATGTGCCCTATGCCTACAAGGCCAGCGAATGGGTTGGCTATGACAACATCAAGAGCTTCAACATCAAGGTATGATGAGATGTTCAGCTGTGCTAATAATAAGGCAGGAGGCTTTCTTCAGTAGCAGCTCTCCAGACTTACTGGGATTTTTTCCCTGGCACTGAACAGGTCGACTGGCTGAAGAAGAACAATTTTGGAGGTGCTATGGTTTGGGCCCTTGATATGGATGACTTCACTGGCACTTTCTGCAAGGAAGGCAAATATCCCCTGATCACCGCCCTGAAGAATGGTCTTGGTCTGCAAAATAGTGGTGAGTGGCTTGAGGAGCATGTGCTTCTTGAAGGAGATTCCCTAGCCCGCTGCTGATGCAGGGCTTCAGAGTCCCCAAAACCTTTATCTCTGGAACCTTCGTGGATAAAGACTTTCTGTGGAAGCCACAACTACAAATTGCCCTGGAATGATCCCTTCACTCTACATCCCCCAGGATAAAAGAGGGAGATTGTTACTTGGATCTGGGTCCAGATGTTTCAAAGGCTTGTTGCGAGCCAGGCCAGACTTTGGGGGAACCCGCTTTAATAGCTGACCCCACCACTAAAGGGCCTATGGAAGGAGGGCAGGGCTGAGAGACTGTCAACATATAAATAAGCCCTTTCTTTCTTTTATTTCAGACTCTGTGCCTTCAGCTCAGACCAGTGCTCCAGTCACTGAAGCTCCCTCTGCTACAGGTGGAAGTGGGCGCGGGGACCCTGGTGGCAACACTAGTGGGAGCAGTTTCTGTGCTAGCAGGGCCAACGGCATCTATGCAGATCCAACCAACAAGAGCAGCTTCTACAACTGCTTTAATGGTGAAACCTTTGTGCAGAGCTGCCGGAACGGCCTCGTCTTTGATTCCAGCTGCTCCTGCTGCAACTGGCCATGAAGATACCGATCCTATTACGGCAAACAGACGCCTCCGAGCTAATTGCACGGAATAAGAATGATGAAATAAAGTGTTCTGCAAAAGTAACAATCCTTGTTGTTTCAACTCATATTGCTCTTAATATTTTGATGCTCCTTGATTCTCTCATGATTCTCTTATGATTCTTGGGCTCAGGGAAGGGCCTGAATCCACAAGCTGGACTTAATTCCGGTATGGTGTTTTCTGGGGGTTTCTTGCTGCTCTACTGTTACAGCCAGGCACAGAGAGAAAGGCAGAGAGCAGACCACAGGGCAGAGCAGGCTGTGTCACAAAGACATCACAGAGAAGGGTCCTGACAGCACAACATATCGACTGCATCCCCAGAGACCTCTCCCTTACAGTGTGTAAACGGCAGCTCCTTGGAGTAGGAGCCAGCACAACGCCATCCACCAGGACGTTATTAATCCTCCTCTTTTCCCTGCACCCTTCGGGCACTGCCATCGCCAACATTCCCTCCAGCAGCCCCTGTTCCGTGTCTATAGCAACCAGAGCACACACACCCTGAGGTCTGCAGGGCAGCATGGCAGCAGAGTGGGAGCCGAGAGGTGAGCCGTGCGAGGTGCGTGTGCCCGGTGGGGCTGTGGGCACGAGGGCTTTCCTCCTCGTGCAGCTCCCCAGAGGCATCAGGCTTCCCCAGCAACCTTCCCCACAACCAGACTGCTAGGCATCTCTGTCCTCAGGCTGTTGAGCCGTGCGAGGTGCGTGTGCCCGGTGGGGGTGTGGGCACGAGGGCTTTCCTCCTCATGCAGCTCCCCAGAGGCATCAGGCTTCCCAGCAACCTTCCCCACAACCGGGCTGCTTGGCTTCTCTGTCCTCAAGCTGCGGAAAAAGAAGCCTTTGTGGGAGGAGGGAACAGGCATCCAAAAGGCAGATCCCTCATAAATATCCAGGGTCAGGGGAAATTCCCATCTGGGAGATGAGGGCATGGCTGGCCTCAGGCAGAGAGCAGCAGACACTTAAGAAGGAAAAAAGGCAGCAAGTGGTCACCTCTGTACGGGTTTATCACAACGGTGGAATTTCCCTCTCCTGGTCTCACAGCCGTGCAGAAGCGGATCTCATTTGGGTCATGTCAAGAGCGGAAAATATTTCCTCTCCACCGTGCCCCAGACAGGCTGGGAATTCAGCAGATGGTCATCCCAGGAAACCCATCGCTTGGGCCAGGCTGTTACCTTAGTCAAGAGGTAAGTTGTTCAGTTTTCATGCTCAAAGCTTTTCCTTCACAGAAGACACACAGTACAGGAGCAATAGGAGTCCCCCACACCTGCCCTGCAAACTATTGTATAAGGTCTCCACATGTACCTAGAAGAACAAATTCTCCTCCCCTTCCAAACGTACCAGTCCTCAAAGCTCCAGCTGCCCTAATGCTCCACCTTATTGAGAAATTAGAGGAACTAACAGGAATGTCTGCTGCTCATGCACATCTGCCCTTCCCCCTGATGCAAACGGTGTCTTTAAAACGTCAGTAAGACACTTGTGCTTTGAATTGCAGGGAAGCAGCCTCAACTGTTTGGAAAATAAACCACTGAGCAAGAAAGGCTATGTGATAGGAGCAAGAACAGCCCAGCGTTTCAGACCAGAACCGCAGGTAAGAAAAGCCCACTTCGAAGGGGCAGACCTGCAGCTTTGCAAGAATTTGGAGGCTGTTTCCAACACAGACTATCAGTTTCAATCATATTTGCTGGGGCTGCCTCCAACTTAACATATAGAGAAGCTACAGATCTGCTTACACATAGTCTAGTGGGGGGTGTCGAGCCTAGAGACTGCTGGCTGATTGTAGCAGCTCTGGCAACATCGACATGTGCATTTGACATTATTTTTCAGCACATATTCACACATGTAAATGCAGATATTCAGGGAAAATCAGGGAGGGAGCTCAGTTATATGACCTGAACAAATCTGCTCTGTTTTCTGGCCCAGCTTCCCTAGAATAAAAATATATTAGAAGAGTGTCTGCGTTCAGCCTCTATCTGGGGCTAAACAATAGCCAGCTGTTCCATTATCCAATGACCCCTCCCCGCTGAAAAAGGGGAATCAGGAAAAGGATGGAAGACTCATGAGTTAAGACAAAAACTATTTAATAACTTAAGAAGAAGAAGAAGAAGAAGAAAAAGAAGATGAAGAGGAAGAAGAAGAAGAAGAAAAAGAAGAAGAAGAAGAAGAAGACGAAGAAGGAAGAAGAAGAAGAAGAAGAAGAAGAAGAAGAAGAAGAAGAAGAAGCAGCAGCAACAGACAAGTGATGTACAGTGCAATTGCTCACCACCCCTTCCTTGACCCATATCCAGCCTGTTCCCAGCTAGCTATCCCAGAGCAGGAAAATCCCGAAGCCGCAATCCCAGAAGACAGAGGTAAGGCCTCGGGAGCAGAATGATGGTTGAGACCCTCCAGAGACAGCAACAATTGAGAAAAAGAGACCGACACCAACAAACGTTCCAATTTGTAGTGAGCATGATGTTACATGGTATGGAATATCCATGTGCCAATTCAGATGTCAATCACCTTGGCCACGTTCCCCAGGTTCTTGGAGATCCGGGTCATTCACAAAAACAAGTGGAAAAACCCTTGATCACTATGGATACCTGCACACCACGGCTGGCTGCAAACCAAACCGAAGTGTCTTATCAACTTTGTTCTCACCCAATCGGGTGCTGCAGTAGTCTTAAAAATGCAGTTTACTTTAGAAATGTAGCTTTTCTGAACAGCAAATTGACTCCATGATTCTGTCCCAGCAAAACCAGGACAGAGAGACATCACAGGACACACTGGGTAAGGAGCAGGGAGTGCATAACTGGCTTGTTCTGGGTTTTTTATGCTATCAGCAGGTCCGTGATGCCCAGCTGGCTGCTGATCAGAGCGCGTAGGAATGGTTTGCAGAAAAAAATCTTCCGTATAGAAATTTTATCTCTTGCAGACTGTGACTCCTGGCCCAGCAACGTACCAGCCGTGCTGGAAGAAAGAGAGAAAATGCCAGCCTGCCTATGCTCCGTTTTCCGTTATGACACCACGATTTCCAAATAAGCCTTCAGATAAAGAATTTTTCCCTGGGTAACGTAACTCATTTCCTTACACTTCTAATAATCAGCAGGAGTACTAGCAGAGAGAAATACTAAGACACAAATGGGAGACAGGTAACTGAGTTCCCAGAAATGTTTTTTTCATCTTTGAAAATCTCTCCTGCTTTACTCTTTAACTCAAATATGATAACTAGAATACCACAACATGCATCACTCCCATGGATCGAGGTAGAGCTGGTAAATTCTGCTACTACAAACATCACACCCTAGCTCCAGAAATGAGATAATTTGTCCCTGTTTTCTTCAGACCTGGAACTTACGAAGTGGAAAAGCCATTACACAAAAAAATCACTTGGCCGATGAAGTTTGGGTCTCCAGACTGGTCTTTAGTGCCGATGCCAGCAAAGAGGATGTTAAAAATGGAGGTACAGAAGGTAAGGATAGGGATAAGGGGATGTTATTCCAGGCTTAATGCTTCTGAGAAAGGAAATCCTATGATTACTTCAACACATTTGCACTATGTTTTGTCATCCTTTCCTCACTGGCCTGCTGGATACGTGACTCTACTAGCCTGGGGCACAAGACACAAACTCATTTTCTATCAAAAAGTGCCGGTTTGCAGAAAGTTACATTCCTTCAAAAACCGCTTCTATTAAAAATTTTATCTGGAAGTTTCCATCCACAAAGTGAGAGACCTAAAGCACAGCCTTTCCCGTGTAGCTTTGCTGCAAAGAAAACCTTTCTGGTTTAAAACCTCAGTTTAGATTCTCGGCACCATCTCACATCTTGCCGTGCTTTTCTGAAGCAATTGTCACGGCTAATCTCTAACAGATAGTGGTTGCCTTTTAGCTGACCATAGACAAGGAACTCCGGAGACACCGGGACCGACTGGCCTACCTGAGTTTGTACTACAGCTCTGTGCACAGCCAGCAGCTTTACTGAAGCAGTGCCCAGCAAACACCCCAGGGAACGGGGCTGTGCTGGGAGAAGCTCGAGCAGATGGCCTGCAAGACCCACATTTGCATTACCAGCCTTTTCCCGGCTGACACGAGGATATTCTCAAGCAAAGAGCAAGCAACATGCTGCTAATTAAGACCCGGTCACGAAAATAAATTTAGTCTGAAACAGAAAGGTGCTGGTGTTCATCAGCAGTTGTTCCCGTAATGCACAACTCAGACCCCAGGGATTTCTATAAAAGTTTACAAACCTTCACACAGACTGAATCTCTCTGATCACAAGCTTGATTCAATCTCAGGGGAAAACTATCAACAGGCAACACTGATTCTTGGTGTAACCACCAGTCACAACGCAGGCTTTCAAATTTTCTGGGTCTGTTTAGCTGTTTCTGTAACAAATTTCACCTGTAGCCCAATTTCAGGTATAAAACCAAAACGCATTCTTCCAATTTCCCACTTTCAGTCTTCGAGTGCTCTCAGGCATGGCAACAGCTGCTCACGACCTGCCTTTTCTAGGCACGTTGGTCCCTTCCCTCCCAACCACAGGAGACTGCTTTGCAGTTGCAGCTGTCAAAAAGGGATGTACTTGCTGATTCACAGTTGCCCCTTTTGGTGCAACCTTTTGAAGGAGGGGGTATGACTCACTGGGAATGGTACTGTCCTAAGACCTGGCTTTTATGGCTGCTTAAGGCTTCACCTTTGTATTCATGGCTGGTAATGTGTACTGCCTTCCCTCCCAACCACAGGAGACTGCTTTGCAGTTGCAGCTGTCAAAAAGGGATGTACTTGCTGATTCACAGTTGCCCCTTTTGGTGCAACCTTTTGAAGGAGGGGGTATGACTCACTGGGAATGGTACTGTCCTAAGACCTGGCTTTTATGGCTGCTTAAGGCTTCACCTTTGTATTCATGGCTGGTAATGTGTACTGCACCTCCACCTGCCTTGGTTTTCTAATCAGGAGAAAAATACACGTGTAAGAGAAGATGTAAAAGTAAGCCAGCAGTACCTATGATGCTGCAGTCCTTCTCAACTAGATGTTCCACCTGTGGTTGGAGGAACTTTCTTCTAAAGCTTTTGCAAAACTGATGGTATTTCAAAAGGCACTTTGTCCTCACTCAGCGTATTTCTCATGAACCAAAGTTTTAGTTGGAAAATTCCCAAACTTCTCAGCTATCAAATGTTGCTGTGGAGAAGGGAAGAGATGCAGAGGGAAGGACAAGACTTCCTACCACTTGTAGAATCACTGAAAACACAGTCAGGCTCCATTCAGGTGCTTTTCCACTCCTGAAACTTTAAGAACTCAGTCAGTTTTGTTTGTAGGAGATAAAATTTCTTTTATTATCAACATAAAAATTACTATTTTCATTCTACATTTTTCCCCTACCCAGCGAGGGATTTTCTCATTACGAAAAACGCTCAATTCAAGTAAAAAGATATAAATTTTTATATATACATACATATACAATGTCTCTGTACATTTGTTATTCTGTACAACCAAGGCACCAGCAGAAGTGACAATGGCACATGCAGGACTTTTTTGCTAGAGACGTCATTTCACACTGGTTGGCAGTAACAGCTCTGTTCTCTACTGTAATTACTCCTTTTTTTCTCCTCTTCCCTGGGTGACAGGGGACGAGGGAGGCCTGGGAGGATGCCTTAACTAAACAGAGGTGAGGTACACACATGACTCTCATTTCCCTGGTGACTGCAACAGATTTCTTGCATTCAGCTGCTCTACTCTAGGAATGACCTGTATGGCAGTCTGTAGCAGGCAGTCTTTGCTGCCTCTCCCAGCACCACATTTTCATCCAGAAGAGATGCTCAGGAGACTGGATTAAACTACAGGAGTCTTTTGTCGAAAAAAATTTAACTCACATTTTGCCTAACTAAAGGCTGAATGAAAATTAAAGCGAAGCCCTCCAGAGCCAGCTAACAATTACAATGCTCCCATCACCAGTCATGTTCACTGCTGAAATAAAATCTTCTGCTCTGGGGAAATAAAGGGGGGAAAAAAAGAGCAACTTCTGTTGATAAAAGCCTGTATTTGAGAATGGACAAAATAAAACAGTGCGATCAATAGCATGGCCTTGTGGACTGCAATCAATACAGCTTTATTCCATACTCCAAGTTTTTCAGCACAGCATCTTTCAGAGAGTTGAAGGCGTGAACTCTCAAAGGAGCTGTGCTGTGTTGAAACTAACAATAGAACTGAAAAATAGCCTGAAGCAGCTGTTACATCTTGCCATTTGTACTGCTAAAAAATAATCTCAAAGCAGAGCAGGGTAAACACCACACTTAGCGCTTTTAAGTTAGAAGTGCAGCTGCAGTCAGCAAAGTGAGAAGAAAATGCCACCTTAGCTCTGTATTTACACTTCACTCTCTTACCAACACATCAGATGCTTTTAGTTCTTAAAAGAAAAGTCTGTTTGCTTTTACCTGCCAAGAATCCAAGGAAGGAAACCTCTCTGGGGTTTTTCTGTCTCTGTTAATACATGTTCCTCAGATTATAAGGCCAGGCAAGGTCGATTGCAGAAGTTTCTTTTCTGGCCTGCCAGCCAGCCACAAACGAATGATGCCTTTGTATTCCGTGGAGCCTGCTGGGAAGCACTGAGCAGCAAGAACCTTTGTGTCCCCATCTCTTCAGAGAGTAAATCCTGCTGACAGTGAGAACAAACCAAAGTAAAGGAGACAATTCCCATGTGCAACCCGGTGGCCTTCGACACTTTTAAGGCAATTGACCATCGACCATTCCAAGTCAGCAGGAGAGCAGAGGGGAAAGGAGGAGCATTGCAAATCAGGATGAGAGTGTAGTTCACTAGGCGGAGAGAGATCGTTCTTCTGCTTCTGCCACTCAGCCAGACTGCCTCTCCTGTCTTGCTCCATGCCTCTCCACAGCAGCAGAGGTGAACCCCCCAAGATATTCTTACTCTGAGCAGCCAGCTGGTTACACCTCACTTCTTTCTGCGGATCTTGGGCTTTTTCACCGGTCGGAGGTAGGGATTGTCTATCACATTCTCCTCCCCATTCCGACTGCCTGACAGGGAGGTGTTCTGCTGTAACACTGAAGCATTCTCCTTTTCAGGTCCTGAATCATCCTGCCACATTAAAAAAAAAAAACCCAAAGCACAAACAACCAAAGTTAGGCTAAATAAAGCTTAGAAGTTCAAACCACATAACCTATTGGCAAAACTGATAATCAACAGCCAAGATAAACAGCAGCACACAAGGAGCTGTGTTAAAGGTCAGGACTCCTGATTTCTAACACAAGTAGATCCCCTTTGGGAACAGTGTGGGATTCTAGGACAATCCTCTCTCCCCTAACACTGAAATGAAGGTTGTACTGAAAGCTTATGACCCAATCTCATTCTGCACTGCACCCTGCAGAAAGTTAAAGAACCATGGCAGTGTTTAGTCATTTACACCTGGTAAAACGCAACCCACTCTGCCATTTTCCACCCACTCTGCCCAGCTGCAAGGAAGACAGGCAAAAAAACAGGTTTCATAGGTTTAAGAAAGTTGGGCCCAAGAGACCTTGATCTCTCAGACTGGGCGTACCGTGCTCATGTGCAGGGGGAGGTTCTCAGTGTCTGTCTGGTCGTCTTGCTCAGATGAATCTGTTTCCTCCATTTGCTGCATTTCCAGCTCAGAGGGGAGAAGAGCTGTCAGGTAGGGTACAGTGAAAGGCCTGGCAGCAATCACTAGGGTTAGGGAAAAGGACACAGTCAGCCAGCTGGGAGAAGGCTCCTCAGGTCAGACATTACGAAGCACAAAGCCAACCAGTTACTTAGAGACCAAACATTTTCCCTGGTTCTAGTTTTAAACACACACACACACACTCTTTTCCTGATGCTTCCAGGGATCAGGAATATGCTGTCCCTAAAACATCACAGTCTCTAATTCCCTACTTTCTGAGGAAAGTAACATTCCCTTTACATTTCCAGTCAAGGACAAAGCATTAGAACAACACAAAAGAGTCCTTCCTGATCTCCATAAAAGTTCAGTTATCTCACAGCCTGAAGCATCACTTAGTCCCCCTTAAGAGAACACTGACATCTGTGCTGCCAGTGAGCCTTGGGAAGGTGGGAATTCTCATCACTGCTTTCCAGACAGGGAAGCAGAAAAATCTCCACTGGCTACCACAAAAATGGAAGAGAGAAGAAATTACTACTTTAAAAGTCACAGAGGGTCAGAGACAGGATTGAGATGAGTTTTGAATTTAGCACGTCAGCCAAGGCCTTCTCCACCAGCAGAAGAAAGTGAGCCTTTGGTGAGGGTAGAAGCCTACTATTAGGCTCTGATTCTGTTTTTATTCCTGTTTTAAATAAAAAACTCCTTTCCCAGCCTACTAGTCCCTCAGAAGGGCAAACACAATGTGATCACTCAGTGCTCACCTCCTGCAACAGCAAGAACTCTAATGGAGTGTATACTCAGTTAGACACTTGTCATTTACAGCATCAAGTGTCCTAGATAACTCACGTGGGAACGTGCTAACATCATCTTTGAAGAGACTCTGTGTTTCTCCTGTCTTAGCCATGAAACGTGTGAGAGCTCTTTCTACGTCGCGCCGTTGAGATGCTGCCTTTTCCCGTAGGACTTGGTAATCAGACACTGGCTCCCGGTACGTCTGTGGAGCAGGCAGGAAAGGAAAAAAGAACACTGCTAGTGGATGCAACGCAGTCAGCTGAAGTCCAAAACACTACAAGGATGCAGATGCTACAGGCAAGCACTGACCTTAAACACGCACAGATTTTTAGAGAGCTACAGAGGTCCATCAGCTAGAAATCTACCGCAAGCAACAGCAATTTATTAAGCCAGGAGAAACAATGTTCTGGATAAACAGTAGCAGCACTGAAGTAAAAATATTTATATGCTACTCCTGGTGTTATTGACTTCAGACAGACCCCAAATGGCACAGAATTCTTTTTTCACTCACTGGTGTCTTGATGTAAGTGTGAGGATCTGGAAACTCAGGGAAATGGCCAGGAAT